TCTGCTTAATGAAAGAGGTCAGTGTGTTTTGTTCTGAACACAAAGTATGGTTTGCCTCCTCCATGAGGTTGTCCCTGCAAGTTCCAAGATATTGTCATTGGTATAGTGACAGCCTAATCCCAGCAAGCAACTTTGCTAGCAGCCTCACTCTCATCCGCACATTGGCCTTTTCCCATTGCATCAAGAATCTTAAAAGCCAACATTGGTACACCCTCACTGCAGTATGAGTGGGAGGGGAAAAATTCTGTATCTCTCATCAGAGATAAGGTCAAGAAAAACATTGTTGATGAACCTGACACTGAACATCCATAAACCCTTGTTGTCTGGCTAGAGTTTTCCCATACCAGTTTGAATCTCTGATAAATGAAACTCTTTTCTTGTATTTTGCAGAGGCTAGAAAGGAAGTCTCTCCGGACACTCACACATCTATCCAACAAAGCATGCTCCCGCTATGCCTTGTTTGGGAAAGATAAAACAAAGCTCAGGTACAAAGCAAATCTGTGTATGTCGTGCATATCAAGATCAGACATTTAAATATTCACCTTTGAATTTCAGGTAGATCATAGCCAAAACACAAAATCTCCCTTGGTTGGAATAATCAAAGCACAATCAATTGTTGTGGGATGATACTGTGTTTGCTGTCATTTCCAAGGGGACACTTTTCAATGATTATTCCTCAAGTATGACAGCGCAGAGAGGTTCAAATTAAAAAGAATATCCTGTCACAAAAAATGTGGTTTGGCTGGCATTTCTCCCCATAAGGTTCCTACTTTAAAAAATGTTTGGCAGAAATTTTGCACACACTACTTACATAACAACCTAAGTTTTGTAGCTTAGTAGCATCTCTCAGCAAAACCCCAACCTCAGAACTAGTTTACTGAAATTTGGATTCATGGAGAGGAGAGGTCCATGCTGCTAGCTTTATGACCACAAGCAGATGCCATTTCCACTCTCCTCCCACCAGCTAGAGAAGCTATGACAAGGAAGTGCAACAGAGGTCCTACTTCTGATCATCATAGCCTTGCTGGTTGGCAAGAGTGGAGTAGAAACATTATCTGCCTGTGCCCCAATCACCAGCAGAACAGACCCCCTTCTCTCCATGTGACTGATGCCCAGTATTATAGATCGGTGGGGGACAGAAGTGTCACAATTGTTACTTGAAGGGACGATGAATACAGATCCACTATGGATGTGTAACTCCAGGTTATTCATCCATAAGTCTGATACTGAATTCCAGACATTGTTTAGAAACATAATGGCCAGCATCCTAT